ATCGTCATGGAGCCAAAGTCTTTTCCATAGTCTTTCGTTACACGAATAGGCTCCATGGCATAGCTGTCTGGGGTAGCACTACTCACATACTGAAAGTCCCGAACGCCCCGGCAGAAATACACAAATAAACCTCTCTGCAGGGTAAAATACAGTTATCAGCACATGGGCCATTGTCGGAAGGCAGGAGGCTAGTCAGTAGTCCCCTCCAGACACAAGTGGCGAAAGGCACTTCGTCACACATCTTCCCTTCCAAGTACAGATCCCTGAGGTACTCCACTGGTAACTAGACCTTACTTCGAATATACTCCATTGACTACAACCCTCTGTTGCCTGTCACTCAGCCACTGCCTTTTCAACAATATTGGAATCCAAACTTAAAGATTGCAGTTTATTGATAAGCCTTCTATGTGCAACAGTGTCAAAAGCCTTACTGAAATCTAGGTAAGCAATGTCTACTGCACCACCCTGATCTATAATTTTAGTTACCCAATCAAAAAAATCAATAAGATTAGTTTGGCATGATCTCCCTGAAGTAAACCCTTGTTGTCTCTGATCTTGAAATCCATGTGTTTTTAGATGTTCATCAATCCTATCCTTTAACATGGTTTCCATTACTTTGTCTACTACTAAAGTAAGGCTTACTGGCCTATAGTTGCCAGACTCCTCCCTACTACCTTTCTTGTGAATGGGCACAACATTCGCTAATTTCCAATCTTCTGGGACTACTCCTGTGAGTGCCCGTTGAGCAATCTCTTGGACACCGCTGTTCCACGTTAGGCTTGCAGGTGGGTGGCAGATTTCTTTGTAAAAGTGAACACAAGTACCGTAGTGACTGCATGTTGGCGATACTTTATTTAGGAAGTATTGGATGTACATGTCCATGATCACATCTGGTACATGATATGTTTGAAACGATTAATCACATTTTCAGAGAAACTGCTATGTTTACATTGCATGGTTAATCCATCCTCTAGTGGCTGTCTTTCTGACAGCCGCTAGAGGCGCTTCTGCAACGCTGAATGCCGAGAATTGCATTCAGCGTGCAGAACGTCCATAGGAAAGCATTGAGAAATGCTTTCCTATGGGCGTTTTTAATGCACGCGCGGTTCTGGCTCCACTCAGGAGCTGACGTCGGCGAAGGAGGAGAGGTCACCAGCGCCGAGGGAGCCTTGTGCTGGATTAAAGTAAGTAGCTGAAGGGGATTTAACCCCTTCAGCCCAGCGGTAGGCCCTGAGGGTTATATAGTTTCAGGAAAACAAGTTTTTTTTCCTGACACTATAGTGATCCTTTAATGAACATTTATTCATAAAAAAATTAATGAACCAAAATGAAAACCTCAGTTGCATAGAAACATGCTTTCTAGAACAATATGAAGCAATCCCTCCTTAGTTTAAAGAGACACTATAGGCACCATTCATCTCATTGAAGTGGTCTGGGCGCAGTGTCCCTGTCCCTCTTAGTCCTGCAATGTAAGATGTTGCAGCTTTAGAGAAACTGCAATAATTACATTTCAGGACTAAGACTGCCTCTAGTGTTTGTTAATCAGACAGTCACTAGAGGCACTTCCTGGTTGCTAATGGGCCTTTGGTCGCCTTACTGACACTGGACGTCCTCACGCTCTGCATGAGGACAACCGGCATCCGTAATGTTCCCAATGCTTTCCTATGAGGAGGGCCTTATGAGCTCGCCATGCATGCCATTAGGTCCCCTTGCACTATAGTGTATGGAATACAACTTTACATCCCTCATATTATAGAATCCCTTTAAACAAATACAGAAAAACAAACTAATTGAAGTAGGCAGATACAGAGAAAAATAAATCAGCTGAAATACCTTTATCAAAAGAAATCAATTGTCGATCAATAAAATGTAAGTATGCTATATGTATATTAATTTGATTTTGAAGAGTGCAAACCTGTCCACGTATTTTGGTGCCTACTATTTTTGTTTATTTAGTTTGGCGTATTTTACTATTCATGAACAATTAAATCTTAGTTTTTTATCACATTGCGTAGGTTCGGACGTGCATATTAACGTGACATGAATGATACCGCATCACATGGCTCGGCTGTCTCTAGGAGGAGGTAGGGAGCATTCCCTAAAGCCCTGTGAAAATAAACACACTACTTGTATCAATCATTAAAGAGTTAATTAAACCCTTTTTGTGTGATTTGTTTATTTTATTATAAAATATTTAAACTTATTGGTCGCTTGTAGTCTGTCCAGCACCCTTTTTAAATATAAAAAAAACCCTGTAAAATAAGATAGAAGTTACTGATACACCAATGCCGGAGGAGGTCCTTCCATGTCCCGACTAACATCACACTCCTTCCCTCTCTGTGGTCATAGAGACCGTCAACTCAGAGCTCATGTGCATGCTCAGAGTAAGGGAAGGGTGGGAGTATCGATATACCTTTACAGCTTTTTATGGAGGGGGTGGGGAGTTCTAGGCTTCCCCTTGCAATGAAAACAGAAGTGGTTGTGGGTTGGGGTAACCCTTTAAATGTTTGTTTTTTTGTTTTTGTTTACTGATTTACTTTAAGTAATTACAAAAATGTGCTATAAAAAGGTAACCGCACCTCAGTGGTTCCATTGTAACATTTAACTGTGTACTTTAATGGTGTCTGTCTGTTTAAAGAAGCCGAGCAATTCGTCACGATCTGGAGATTAAAAAGAAACAAGTATTATTAACCAGACTGGGTTATTCACTAACATGGCCAGTGTGAGCAATGCAAAGTCAGTTTCAGATTTTAGGCTAATATAGACAGAATTAATACATGGAAACGCAATAGGAGAATATTCCAATTTAGCCATTCTAATCTAAAATATTCCTATCAATTCACCCTACAGTGAGCAACCAGCTCTATAAGAATTATACAGAAGCAGCCGGTTTCATGAGTATGTTCTTTACTTTCAGTATTCTACTATGAACGTCAAACATCAGACAGGGATCAGCTTACTATTTACCTGCGCTGTAAGTGATTGGCTGTAAAGGGATCGGCTGTAAGGCATTGGCTGTAATGAATTGGCTGTAAAGGGATCGGCTGTAAGGCATTGGCTGTAAAGGAATTGGCTGTAAGAGATTGACTGTACAGGGATTGGCTGTAAAGGGATTGGCTGTAATGAATTGGCTGTAAGAGATTGGCTGTAAGAGATTGACTGTACAGGGATTGGCTGTAAAGGGATTGGCTGTAAAGGGATGGACTAAGGGATTTGCTGTAAGGGATTGGCTGTAAAGGGATTGGCTGTAAAGGGATCGACTAAGGGATTGGCTGTGAAGGGATTGGCTGTAAAGGGATCGGCTGTAAAGTAAGGGATTGGCTGTAAGGGATTGGCTGTAAAGTAAGGGATTGGCTTTAAGGGATTGGCTGTAAAGTAAGGGATTGGCTGTAAGGGATCGGCTGTAAAGGGATCGACTGTAAGGGATTGGCTGTAAGGGATCGGCTGTAAAGGGATTGGCTGTGAGGGGATTGGCTGTAAAGGGACCAGCTGTAAGGGATCGGCTGTAAAGGGATTAGCTGTAAAGGTACTTACGCTGTTAACTTTAAGGGTACAAGGTTCATCGAGTGAACCGTTTAATTTTTGGCACGTGGCAATGGTTCCCTTGATTATAAATGCCATGCTATTAGGAAGTACAGGTTTCTACAGAACAAGGAAAAATATCAATCAATCAATCAATCAATCAATGAAACAGCAACGTAAATAAATGCATTACAAAACAAAGGAGTTTGTGAGCAAAATGTTGCCACAGTGACAATTAGTATCTGTTCGGATGTATAAAAATATTTTATATTTTTATCATTTTTTTACCTTTTTGCTGCTCTGGTTCCTGTAAAGGCATATTTAGATTAAGATGGTCCTGGGAAGAATTCCAGATAGTAACTCCCTCTCCCCCCCCTTCCGAACCGTGGGCTTTGTTCTGTGAATGGGATCAGCTGAGTATCTGTGGTGGCTGAGTGTTGCATGTGCGTTTGTGTTTGCGTGTGGTGGCTGATTCTTGTGCATGTGTTTGGGTATGGGGAGACTGAGCATTGTGTGTGTGTGGTGGCTGAGTGTCGTACATGTGTTTGTGTATGGGGCGAGACTGGGCATTGTGTGTGTGTGTGTGTGTGGAGGCTGAGTGTTGTGTGTGTGGTGGCTGAGTGTTGTGTGGGGAGGAGAGGCTGAGGGTGTTTTAGTAGTTTGCCATAACAGAGGGGTATTACTTCTGCGAATTTCTCACTGTAAAACTCACCGTGAGAAGACGCTGGACGTCCATAGATTGGCTGTAAAGGGATCGACTGTAAGGGATTGGCTGTAAAGGGATCGACTGTAAGGGATTGGCTGTAAAGGGATCGGCTGTAAAGTAAGGGAGAAGACTGCGCATGGGCAGTTTGAATGCGCATGCGCATTTGGATCTGACGTCGGCAGGGAGAGGAGAAGTCACCAGTGCCGAGGGAGCCCTACGCTGGAGAAAGGTAAGTGGCTGAATGGGTTTTAAGGGGTTAAAACCCCTTCAGCCACTTACCTTAATCCAGCGCAGGCTCCCTCGGGGCTGGTGACCTCTCCTCTCCCGCCGATATCAGTTCCCGAGTGGAGCCGAATGCACATGTTCAGCAAGAGCAGCGCGCACATTCAAACAGTCCATAGTAAAGCATTTCTCAATGCTTTCCTATGGACGTTCTGCAAGCTGGAAGCAATTTTTGCATCCAGTGTCGCAGAAGCGCCTCTAGCGGCTGTCAGGAAGACAGCCACTAGAGGTTGGATTAACCCTGCTATGTAAACATAACAGTTTCTCTGAAACTACTATGTTTACATCTGGAGGGTTAAATCTGGGGGACCTGGCACTCAGACCACTTCATTGAGCTGAAGTGGTCTGGGTGACTATAGTGTCCCTTTAAATACCCTGGGTTGTCTACTTTTACAAATAGTATGCCAAGATGGGAAATATAAGATGGATATTGCACTAGCAAACCCTAGAACCAAAATAAATTTAGGATTTTTCTGCAGAAAACACCAATATGAAGCGAAATCGACCAAGCGGGTCTCAGCAACGAAAAATTAAGAAGGCAAGAGAAAAGTCAGCTGAGGCGATGTCTGGATCAATTTTAAAATATGTTGCACCTTCAACATCTACCGTAGTAGGAGAAAGTGCTGGAGACATTCAGTCTGTTGAATCCAGCGGTGAAATGCCTGAAGTATCTTCTCAAGAAGTTTCATATGTGAAAGCGCAAGAATTGGAGAAGATCATTTTATGTTCAAGCGGTGAAAGTGATGTAGACGAAGGAGATGCCAGCAGAAGCCTGCATCAGCAAGACTCTGATGATGATGATGATGATGATGAAGAAGAAGAGGAAACTGTTCGACTGTCAGTTTATTCTGATGTTGCTGCTTGGCCAGTTCCAGTTGCAGATGTTTTAAGAGTGGTCCTTATTAAGAGGGAAAGTGAACCTTTCCAAAATAGAGATGGGCCATTCAGTCCTGTTGAAAGGCAAGGAAAGAAATCAAAAGGGAAGAGTCGACAGCTGACCACTGCATGGTTCTATAAGGCTCTACCTAGTGCGAAAGAATTCTTAGAACGTGGATGGTGTACTCTCCATCAAAACAAAGTTTGTTTTGTTTTTGCTGCAGACTTTTTGCTGTTGATGACAAAGTAACAGGGACATCCAGTTTTGTTACTGGGTTTCAGTTGTGGTGGAAGCTGAACCCAAAGGTGTCTGATCATGAGGCTTCTGAGCAGCATCTTACATGCTTGGAGAAATGGAAGACCTTGAGAGCAGGATTGAAGCTACAAAAATGCCTTGATCATGTCCATCAAACAACAGTGGACAGAGAGAAAAGGAAATGGAGGGATATTTTGCATCGCCTTTTGGCTGTAACTTTGTTTCTGGCTCACCAGAATCTTCCCTTTCGTGGTCATAGAGAGACCATGTCATCCGCAAACAAAGGCAACTTCCTGGAATTGGTAGAATTGCTCTCAAACTATGATCCCATTTTAGGAACATTTCATGAGGCTGAAACATGCTGTTGCATCTGGAAAGAGAATGACTTCCTATTTCTCTCCAAAAATTCAGAACGAATTAATTTGTCTTTTGGGAAATCATGTGAAGGACAAAATAGTGGCTGATATCAAGAAAGCAAAGTACTTTGGGATTCTTTTTGACAGCACCCCTGATGTGTCCCACACTGATCAGATGTGTGAAGTGATCAGAAATGTTCATATTGAAGGGGACAATGTTGAAGTAAAGGAATCATTCTTGGGCTTCTTTCCTGTTGCTGAAAAGACTGCTGCTGAGCTCACAGAAAATATCCTGCAACATCTGGAGGAAGATGGACTAGACATAAGCCTTTGCCGTGGTCAAGGATATAATAATGCTGCAACTATGGCAGGGATTCATGGTGGTGTTCAGGCAAAAATAAAAGAGATTAATCCCAAGGCTTTGTTTATGCCATGTGCAAACCATTCCCTGAACCTATGTGGGGTGCACTCATTTGGAAGTGTTGCTTCCTGTGTGTCCTTTTTTGGAACATTGGAGAGAGTGTATTCCTTTTTTTCGGTTTCTACACATCGTTGGGAATTGCTGATGGAAAATGTAGGTGTGACAGTGAAAAGACTTTCCCAAACAAGATGGAGCGCTCATTATGATGCTGTGAAGCCAGTGAGGGCAAATTTTGAAAAACTGACTTCAGCCCTTGAAAAATTGTGTAATCCCAAAGAAAATGTGGACACAAGAGGATCGGCTTAGATGTTGCTGTCTGCCGTATGTGATTTTTCTTTTTTGTGTTACCTTTCTTTCTGGTGTGAAGTTCTAGAAGAAGTTAATATCACACAGAAATATTTGCAAACAGTTGGACTCACTCTTGAAAAGTGCATTGTGAAACTACAAGGTTTGAAAGCGTTTCTAGCAGATCAGCGCAGTGAAATTGTGGAGAAGGCCATTTGTTATGCAACTACTACGTGTAAAGAAATGGACATTTCTATGGAAAGAAGAGGGAGAGTAAAGCTCCGTAAAACAATGCCAGGAGAGAAGGCAAAAGACACCAGAGGAAATGAAAAGGGCTATGTTTGAGTGCCTTGATCGTTTTCATCACGAGTTGGAAATTCGTTCTAAGGTAATTGAAAAAATCCTTTCAATGTTTGCTGTTATTCAGCCAAACTCTCTGGTTGTGGCAACAGAGAAAGATATTCGTAATTATACCCCAAAATTGACTGAGATTTTTGACGAATTCTCTAAAGAAGACATCTTTAGGGAAATTGAACGTCTTAGAGGCATTTGGAAGCTGCCAAGATCAGTGTTGAAGAAGCAAAGAAATGGACGGCATTGCAGTTCCTGGAGTTCATTGTTAAATGGGATTATTGTGAATCTCTGTCAAATTTGTCACTGTGTTTAAGATTCTTTTTGACTCTGTGTGTCTATTGCTTCATGTGAAAGAAATTTTTTTCAAATTAAAATTAATAAAAAATTTATTTTGCTCAACCATCAGTGAGACAAGGTTGACAAATCTGGCTATGCTTTCAATTGAGCATGAATATGCAAGGAAGAGATGCTTTGATGAAGTAATCAATAAATTTGCAGAAATGAGGGCTCGAAGGCAGCGGATGTGAATCATTGCAAATTACCTCTGCCGAATAGACTGAGTGGTCACTTTGGATCTGTGTGTTTTTTTGTTTATAGAAAGCTTATTAGCTGTTAAGTAAATGTTAATTATTTAAATTGAATTTATTTCTAAGTTAATTTATTTTTCATAGTTCCATTTTTTTCAAGTTGATATACAGTTTACAAATTTGTGCAATAAATATTATTGAAAACATTGAAAAAAATTGTGGGTGTTTTCTTACATTATTATTATGGGGGAGGGGGGGTTGAGGAGGGGAGTGCCAGACTCCAGGTCCGCTCCGGGTGCCAAATGCTCTAGGTACGCCCCTGGGTCTAATTACAGAATCTTTTCAACAGAAAACACTAAAACAGTTATACCTCCCAAGTGTCATGTGGATGGTGTAAAATGGTGGGCAACTAACGCCAAAAAAGACAGACATGCTCAGAAAGTGGGTGGGTCTCCCCAAGAATTGGAATGTCAGCCTAGCGTGAATGCATGTTAGGCTGGCCAACTAAGTGGGTACATGGCAGACAACGCCCTGAGCTTGCTGCAAACACATCTAATAATGATCTCGCTCTGCACTTTGTGGGGACAGTTCCCTGGTGTCCCCCGGCACTCACTTGTCCACTCCTCTCTTTTGCTTCTTACTAACTCGCATTATGCCGTGTAGGACAACGAAAAGGTGGATGCAATGAGTATAGAAGAAAAGGAACATGTGTTAGAGAGCCTGAAGCAACATGGCAATGCTCCAGATCTCGTGAGAGGAACCCGGATCCTCCTCTCCCTCCCCAGCCCCATGTCTGTGCAAGTGGGCCGGTGAGGGAGATCTCTGATGTCCCCACTGGCCCGTTATGGAATGCAGCGGGGCCAATGCTCGGATAGCGCAGGCCCTGCATGGACCGGCTTGGGAGGTCCTGTGACCTCCCCTGCCTGTCTGGGCCTATGGCCATCGCGGCCCACCGGGCATTTGCCAGTGTGCCTGATGGCCAGTCTGGGCCTGGCACAAGGTCAGCTTTACCTTAATTTATAGTCAGCCAGCCCACACAAAGTTTGTTCCTCTCTACATCCCTCCTACGTTCCCAAACTTAGTTTCCTCTGCACAAAGAAAAAGAATGCGAAGAGTAGTAAAATAAATAAATGATTTTTTTTTTTTTTTTTTTAGCAATGGGCCTATTCCATGGGCCTGGAGCTTCTGCTCCATCAGCCTTTATGGTAATCTGACCCTGGCCCAATGATTAGACCATGAATTTGCTTGATCCCAGACTGGTTCCTTACCTATCTCACTTTAGTGAAAAAGTTGTGTCTTTTTTAAATCACAGATGGGGCAGATTCAGGATAGGCTGTCTGGGAAGCACCACCTGTGACTGTCAGTCCATCACTACTCTTGTGTCCGATCTCACCTCACCAAAGTGTTACATTTGTTTTTATTGATATTTTATTGATATTTCATTTCTTTTTAGATTTTATTTATTCTATTTTATAGCAACGTAGTCACACACCACCAGCATCTAACCAGCGATTCTTATCTGGTCACACCAGATTCTATTATTTCACTTATCTGGATAAAGTATAAGAACTCCTGTTTGAGCACTTACCTTTCTGCCTGCACCTCGGATTCGTAGACTGGAATCCTTATCTTTGGGAGAATGAAAAGCAAACGGGAGTGATTTTCTCCAGGAATTTCTGTAAGGTTCATTAAACCACCGGATAAACCGGGAGAGAGAATGCCGTGACACGGGATGAAACAAATACGGGAAATAACTTTGAAATGTTTTATTGTCCTGGGGAAGATAAAAGAAGATTATTTATGGTTTATATTAAAAAAATAAAATAACACTGAAAGGAGAGATGTTATCATTTTATTTAATTATTTTCTTTTTTTTCAATTTGACAATTTTTATTACTTTTTCAAATAAAACTTGGGATACAGAAGAGAATGGGGGGGGGGTACATCACATTTTCACTACAAAACACATTTCTCTGTTGTTATTTAAGGCAGTAAATTACACTGATAGCATATTCACATGTAGTCTTGGCTATTCTGGGCTGACCTCCCTCTCTTGTCCTCAGAGGGGGAGGCAGGCGCCATAACCCTATCTTCTATGCACCTTCGCTCTTGTGCCCCATCCAGTGTGTTCAGATGCCCCTTTGTGCGGGTGTTTTGTGTTTTGTGATTGCTCTGCTTACATATTGCTCTAGTGTTCTGGGCCCTCCATGCCTCCAGGTTTGGGATGTGGGTGGGATAATGAGGGGTGGGAAAGGAAGCTGGGGGTCACTTACATTTTTGTCTTCGTGTTTCTGTGTATCTTGCTTTTACTATGATTTACTGGTATAGTCTATCCTCTATTGCTCTTTGTTGTTGCGGGAGTCCCATCTAGTTCTTGCCTCCTCAAATCTTTGGCTGTTCCCTTGATTCTTTCTGGCTGCTACTTCATATTGCAGATTAGTAGTGATTTGTCTTGTCAGGGCTGATTGTGTCAGCGCTGTTGTGGTTTTCCATTCTCGTGCTATGAGCGTCAGTGCCGCTATTAGAATATGGAAGACCATTATTGCCTCACTTCCCCTTAAGGAGTTCATGTTCATGAATAGGAGACACATTTCTGGGGTGATTGTGATGCTATTGTCTATGCCTGCCTTGATAATGTCTCCTACCTTCTCCCAATAGGGTCTGATCTCCTTACATGTCCACCAGATATGGTACATTGTACCTTCTGCTTCCCCGCATTGCCAGCATTGGGCCGATGTTCCTGGGTATATTTTTGCTAGTCTTGTCGGCACCATGTACCATCTATAGTATACTTTCCGCATTAGTTCTAAGTGTGATGTACATGTTGTCCTCCCCTTGTGTGCTGTGAGTGCTTTCGACCATTGTGTTGCATCAAATGTTCTCCCCAAGTCTGCATGCCAGGTTTCACTGAATCTGTCTAGATGAGCTGGGGTGTTTACCGTTAGAAGAGAATAGCACACGGAGATAGTCCCTTTTTTTTGCTTGTGGTTTAAGCATGTTCTTTCAAACCTTGTAAGTATGCCTGATTCCTCCTCAGTGGGTGTTTGGGGT